TTAGAACACATATGGGTTTCAGAAAAGTGAGAAAAACTCAATCAGGAAGTAGGATCGAGCGAACAATGGTAAAAACTGGTCGAAATTAGAACGCATATTTCTGGCTAGGTGTTGGAAGAATTTGGCGCCAACAACCAGATGGCGCCGACTTTTGGCTTTACCGCCTGGCGACAAAGCTGTCGTCTGGCTGTAAAGCCAAAATACTAGCACTAACTTCTGTTCGCTGACGCTAATTCCTACATGCCTCAGCAGCTTTCTGTGCTCGATAAAATTTTCCAGTTTCGCGCAGTGTTATTTCGGTCCTAGTTGTGAAAGATATTCCTCAAATTTCCTACGTGTAAAAATCCTATGTTTTAACTCATTACGGATGATCTTTCCAATGAGATCTTTTTTTATGCATATGACAATAATATTAATCAAAATTACGCACATGAAATACTTAGAACGTTTCGAGTCTCATCCACTCATTCTAAATCATTGCCGAAATAAATTTCAGGAATTAAAATAGAAATCCTCCCCAGTGGAGTCGCAAAAAAACTGTAGGGAATATTTCAAGCGTTAATCTCTAGCTTGAACCCTACTGTGATCATACACTTAAGTACGGTGGCGTCCAAAGGGAAAGAAGATAGAGCAAAAGAGTCGCCAACAAGTTTTTTTAGGAACTTGTAAACCGTTCACGAGGTGAAGGTTACACCCCTTAACGATTCAAGAGATCGTCAACTCCAATAGGTCTTGAATCATGACTGGTAGTTCGGGGATGAAGGTACAAATCCAACCTAAAAGAGATTAAACCTGCCCTAATAATAGGCCTCTACTTTATTCTGATCGTATTCATGTGCGCTTTCTGATTAACATGCAATCAATAGGATTACCCTAAACCTATTTATCTATGTTGGTTGAATTTAATGCACAAATAAAACTATTATTGGAGATCACTTGAGTTATAATCAAATTAACCCTAAACAAGATTATTAATTATCTTATTAAGCGTGATTACAAATACGAATTCCCTTTAAACATGCATAATAATAGCAAGATCCTAGGCATGATACTAATATCAAGCAATAACAATAATCAAGCAACATAATAATAATCATCATAACAATAACAATAACAATAAATAATAATAATAAACATGTTAAAGCATAATAATAGCAAGATCCTAGGCATGATACTAATAAGATTAATAACAAAACCTTAGCATGTCATTAAACATATAAAAATCAAAGCTTTAACCCTAACATGATACTATTAGGAAAGAACATAGGAAGCATCATACTTTTAATCATACTTGATATTAAATTTACCCTAAACATGATACTAGGAATAAAAATAACAATCTAAGCATGATTTCTAAATCATAATATCAATTAAACCATTAAAGTACTTACTTGGATGCCTCGTACCTCTTTCTAATAACAAAGTACACACATTAGTAACTTCAAGGAAAATAATAAACAAAAAAATTAAATTAAATAATTGAAAGAGAGATTTGGGACCAAACCCTCAGAAATTAAACCTTTCACGTCTAGGGCAAAGGCAACTTCGAATATGGCTGGGTGTATCTAAGTCTTGCGAATGCAGAATTTTGTATTTGAGTAAAGGCTAGTTTAGAAAAGAGAGAGAGAGATAGAGTAATCAAGAAAATCTTGATGAGAGTTGGTGAATGAAAACGGAGTTTTTAGAAGGCTATTTATAGAGAAAATCATCCAAAAAGATAAAAAATCAAAACAGAGTTATGACGCGTAAAACGAGGTTAGCGCCAGACGCTGACATTAGCGCCAGGCGCCAAGCTTAGTGTCAGGCACTAATGCTGGCGTTTGGCGCTAACTTAATTATTGACGCGTTTTCTAAAAATCAGATAGAAATTGCCGTACAGGAGGATAAAATCGTATTTTCCTCAAAAACATTCTTTTAATCTGATTAAAACTCTAAAAAGTCAACAAAAGTCAATTTATCAATGCTAATTGAATTAGTAATGAAAAGAACCTTCTAGAAGAATCTAGAAGACTAAAACCATTTATAATTGCATTAGGAATGATAAATCTATATTAGGTCTTCCTTTAGATCATTGGGCCGCATATAAGGCTTAAACTGGGCCCAATTCAGTAATTTGGCCATAACTTCCTCAGTATTCATCGGAATTGAGCTTATAATATATTGTTGGAAAGCTCTTTTCAAGCCCTATCCAACTACACTACTATTGGACCCATATCATGGACCAACCAAACTGGATTGACTGTTTTCTTAAAATAGATTTTCAAAAATAGAGAGAGGAGAAAAGAAATTAAACTATCCTCAACACTAAACTTTCCACACTTTCACTTCATTTGATTATGATTTGACGTGAAAGGTACTCATCACTGGGTTCGGTTTTGGGGAGACACAAATGGGTGTCTACACCATAGTTATTGGGCCAATGACTTACTATCATTTTTCTCTAGCCCATAAGAATACTTTAAATTCCATTTTACACATAACCCAAATCAGATTTTTGTAGCCACAAAATTAAAGGACAAAGAAAATAGAAACCCACCCATCTTCCCCAATCAACAACATCAATGTATGATGTTTGTACACCATAACTATGGAAGTTTTTTCAATTTACATCCCCAAATGTTACCTCCCCTAGTCTATTAATCTAATGGTAAAAATATTTTCTTACAATTGGAGTTCATCCACTCCATCACCACTATCAAGTTCTTCTCAACCATTAGATGCACCACCCAAATCAACCAATCAAAATTGAAGCTTAATTTGATTTCTTCACCATTTTCACCTATAAATAGAGCAAGAAACCAAGATAATTTTATCTTAATTTTAATTGTAATAATACCCACAAAATTTCAGTAATTAAACCCAATTATAAAACCCCCAAATTTTCCCCTTCGTTCTCCTTCGTGCCTCCTTGGCTGGGCACCACCACCACCACCAGGGCCTGCACCCTAGTCGCCGCCCGCCCCTGGCCGACGCCGGCTTCCCAGCCACCGTCGGACCACCTCCTTGCACCCACCTCTTTCCTCCTTTGTTCTTTTGTCCACCTCCAAACCATGACCAAAGTATGGTCTTTGGTGCTTTGTAAAAACCAAAATTAAAATCCTTAAAATCCCACCAATATAAATTCATTCTAATGATATTTGACCCATTAAGAGTAAGTAAGCCCAATCCTTATATTTATGTTACTTTTATTGGTTTAAATTATGTACTTTCATATTTATAATAAGTTGTTGTTATTATTATTATTATTAGTATTATTATTATTATTATTAATATTATTATTATTATTATTAGGTTATTATTATTATTATTATTATTACTATTATTATTATCTAACAATTATAAAGTTTAAAGATCAGTTTACAAAAACAAGTATTAATTTTATAAAAGGGTTGAAGCAATTTTTCATGCACAATTAGTTTGAGTCAATAATTTATATCTTTTATTCAAAATGTATTGATTAGGATTATTGGTTTATTGAAGGGAAGTGTCAATTTCGTTGTTAGAGGTTTCGTATGATTGTATGAAATATTAAGGTATGTATTCGTGGCTAGATCTTTAACTATGTGATTTTATATGCAAATGTGTTTTATTTTTTAAATAATGAACTATATGCTTGAATGTTGAACAATGATTTATAAATGTTTACAACTATAAATCCTCTAAGCATGTTTCAAGAAAAACTATTATTCGATCTTATATATTTATATGCTTTATGAGCTTGTTTGTTAACTTACTTTGTTTACCAAATTGTTTGAAAGGGGAAATGTTATCATTTTAATCATCCCATACATGGGAATTGGATGATTGATTTATCAAAGATGTTTATTGGATTTTTCTTAACTCCTACTATGCAGAGATAAATGATAAGACTATGAGCTTTGTATGATCTAGTCTTTCCTTGAGTATAGACTATGTAAATGAGTTACTAGCTTGAGGGGTGTGCACACTTAGGTTGGGAAAATGGTTGACGAAAAATATTGATCTTCCATTTTCTATTGGAATCTATTTGGAATTTCTATTTATGAACGGTTTGGATAATGATCGATTATTTCCAAAATGCAAAATCTTATGAATGCGTATTTAATTAAATAAATTGATGATTTACGTATCTAGCATTGTTATGTATTTAGCATTTTTGCTAACGCGTATTTCTGTTTTGTTATTGGCTTGGCCCTACATATCACTTATGATAAGTAGATAGGTGACGATTATGAGTCGACGTGACCTTAATGTTGCATTGGGAACAAGGGAGATAATCACGTAATCTAGATTTATTGGTTAACGATTTGTATGAAGAGTTCTCGTGTGGTTCAGTTTTGAAAACTATTATTATTTAAAAAAAGTTAAGTATGTATTTTTTCGCTGCAAGTATTTGTATTTTGAAAATCCTTACGTAATCACGTGGCGGTAATGCTCCTTAACTACTCTCTGAATAAGGTTTTGTATCATTATTATTAGAGAGTAATTTGAGGGTGTTACAGAGGAAGAGGTGACTGACTTCAAAAGATTTTACTCAGTTACCTTTAACCCTGTCACAAAAGACAGTTCTTGCGACTGTCACAAGTTTGAGAAGGATTTCATTCTATGTAGGCACATCATAAGAGCGTGGGATGATAATAGGGTTAAAGATATTCCTCCAAATTTTGTACTTTTTTGGTGGTGGAAAGATGTTGTGAGGAGGGACACATGTGAGAATGCAAACGGTACAATAGCTTGATCCCTAACCTTGAGGCTTTGTGTGACGATGCGTCTCTAGTAGATGATGAAACGGTTGAGGCTGTTCGCAAAGAAATTTCCAAGCTTCATGAGGTGGTGAAAGAGAAGCGTGCAAAATTGTTAGAATAGTTGGTGGTACCAAATCCGGAGATTAACTCAAAAACTTCTCCCCCTGTCCCTACTCTGATGCCAACCCCTCTTCAACAAGCAACACCCTCCGCAACAACTCCATTAGCTGCCACTATTCAACAAGCCGCTATCAGCCCACAAATTCAGGAGGCGGCCAGTTCATGCCTTTAAGCAATCATCCTCCTAACTCCCCTTGGAATATTGGAGATCCAATTATCAAAAAGAAACTTAGAGTGCGACCAAAGGGGTCTAGGAACAAAACCCTTGCTAAGTTAGGGAACAAGACCAGCAAGTTAAAAACTGCTAAGGTATTACCATTCCATACATACTTAGTTAAAAACATTTATAGGGGCACACTGACTACTTATATAGCTAGTACATTCTGTGTTTTGCCTTCAGGGATCTCAAACTCAGGCGCAACCAACTGAATTTCAAGAGTCAAGCCAGTTTGTGAAGAAGCCGGTATATTACTATTGTTTATGTTACTAATTTTATCTTGAAGAAGCTTAAGTTATTTCTAAAACGTAATTGTGTCAACTCAGGTAAGGCGTAAGAAATAGGGTTCAAATCCTTATGCTGAGTTTTGGGAGGCTGCCGGTGAAGCTCAAGTTTTGGGCAATGACCCGTTAATGGATGATTTTAATTGTACCTCACCAATCTCAACCCCTGCAACTATTCTGATGTCTCCATTGTTAACTCCTTCTCAGCAATCAATATCCAACCCAAAGATGGCAAAAAAGAGCCCCATTAGCTCCACCTACAACATTGGAGATCCGAATTCATAAAAGACGCCTAGAGGGCAAACAAAGGGGCCTAGGATCAAAACTCTTGCTAAGTTAGGCTACAACACCCACAAGTTAAAAACTGCTAAGGTATTACATGGTCACTTGTTACCGTTCGATATAAATTTTTAGCCCTGTTTTGTTACTATACATTTATAAATTGTGTTTATGCCTTCAGGGCTGTGAAAATCAGACGCAACCTACGGATGCTCCGGATACACGACAATCTTTGAAGAAGCCGATATTGGAATTTTGTTTCTGTTCATTATTTTATATTTGTTGTTAAGGCTGTTTGTGTCTAAAGCTTTGAGTTATTTCTAAAGCCTATTTGTGTCTAAAGGTTTGAGTTATTTCTAAAGCATGTTTGTGTCAATTCAGGTGAAGCGTAAGAAGGGTCAAAATTAGCTTGCTGAGTGATGGAAGGAGGCTGGTGGAGCTCAATCAATTCTGTTCTAAACTATGAATTAATTCTACGCTGAGCATAATGACTCAATTCTGTAATGTTTAAAAAATGACTATATTATGTGCTGAGCCTGTGAGCAATTATTATGTTGTAGGCTTGATATTGAAATACTGATCCTAATGTATTTTGGGCACTAATGCATTTGAATAGATGTTTTTAACTAAACCAATCTCTACATTGCCATTGTGTTATTACATTGGTTCATACATATGAACTCATCATATTTGACTTGTATAAAGCATAATACAACAGATAAACAACCATATGAAATAGGTAAATTTTATAATCTAGTTCAGCCACTCTTCATATCATACTTATAGTAATTACAACCTATTATCATAATATGATAATTACACTGATTATAGCTTTCCCATTAACTAATCTGTTACCTAGATCTAGCATTCCAAAAAGATACCAATCCAAAAATATACCAACAGCAAAAAAAAAACCCCTAGAGCAAACCTTATGTGTTGATCATCCTACCAATACTACAGTTTAGACCCAAAAGAAGACTTCAGTAACATACAACATGCAATCAATTATCAGAAATTCTCATGCAAAACACGGAAGAATATTCACTTGTTTCTTCATTTGCTTCATGATTGTTCCAAGAAGCAGAATCCAAACCATTGTGATCATCATCATCGTACGAATCGCTCCCTATTTCGAATGATTTGTCTGAATTGACAACGACTTCTTTCTCAGTTTCAGTTTCTGAGTCACAATTCACATCACTTTGAGAATTCTCATCAGTCTCTTCTTCATCCTCACTATCCTCCTTCGCCTCATCCGTCTCTTCATCTTTGTCTTGCATTTCCTCCTGTCCTTCTTCTACACCAGCACAACCAGCATCCTCACCCTCCCTAGGTTTAGTCTCAGCACAATCAGCACCCTCACCCTCCCTAGGTTTAGTCTCAGCACAACCAACACCCTCACCCTTCTTAGGTTTAGTCTTAGCTTCATCATTAACTATTTTTCACAGCCATCCCACACATCTACTCTTTTCCTTTTCTTACTTGTTTCTCCTTTTTCGTTTTTAGTCTCAACCTTTGAAATCCCTTGGTCCTCCAGAAATTCCAGATGACTATTCATCTTCTTCTTCATTTCTGTAGCATACAAACGAAAGCTTGCAGCATTTTCTTCTTTTGATTTCAGTTCATTCGACCTCCAGATTGGTGGCGCAAACACTTTCCCAAAGGTGGGGGTACTATCAGTGCTTGCCATTGTTAGAAGATGGAAATTAAGGTGAAAGACAGAAAAGGAAAGAAAGAAAATGTAGGTGAAAGACAGAAAAAGCAATAGAGCCACTCCTACACATCAAGCAATATAAAGACATAATTGGACCAATCACAAGCAATGATGACTAATTCTTGAAAGAATAAAGAATAAAGTCTTTATGAATTCTCAAGCATTGTACTTAGATTTTTTAAAGGCAAAAATAGAAAGTATCTTTTCATAAATTTCCCTTTATGCACAATATTTACACGCAGGTGTGTTAGTCGTTCTTATTTTTAGACAACGATTTATCACGTAACTGACTATTTCTTTGCCGGTTTCCAGTTTTTAGACATCAATTTGTCACACAACATAACATTTTTGTAATTCAATACGACGAAATTAAAACTATTAACATCTAATAAATATTAAATCATACATTACAAATTTATAATCCGTAACTTCTAATCTGAAGCAGTAATAAGTTTCAAAATATTATTTGTTCTAATCTATAACTTCTAATCTGAAGCGATAATAAGTTTCAAAATATTATTTATTATAATTGGTAACTTCTAATCTGAAGCGATAAAAAGTTTCAAATACCGTGATAATAAGTTTCAAAATATTATTTATTCTTATAAGCTATAAGTGATAATGTGTTTCAAATACCATTGAATGCCTAACTACATCTACGCCTGTTTTTAACATAAAATTAAAAAATACTGCACCTACCTATTACATACAAATATACAATAACTGTATTAGACTTATACAATACATATATTTAACGGTGCCATTAACTTCACTAATTCCGTGATTATTGAGCTATAGCATGTAAACTTCATTTTTAAAAAAAAAAAAACTTATTCTTTAATTTTTTTTTTAAAAAAACCTCATTTTAAAAAAAAAAAAAAAAAATTAATTAGAAATAGTAACAAACTTTTTAATTTTTAAAAAAATATTGGGACGAAAAGTAACAGAAACTACAAAATAAAAAATTATTATAGAAAAAAGGGGATTGGAGTTGTCAGGAATCGAACCTTTGATGTTGGTGTAGGTAATAAGTAGAGACTTGTGCTATGTAAGGACCATTGGGACGATACCATGACCGTGATACAATGTCCTAAAAAAAATTCAATTATATTACAGACCCCACATTTTAGTCTCTTGTGTTTCAATTATATTAATTTTTTTAGGGAAGTTTTAATTACGTAATTTAATGTACAAACTCCCTCTAAAATTATTGTAAAATACATATATTTAACGGTGTCATTAACTTCACTAACTCCGTGATTATTGGGCTATAGTATGTGAACTTCATTTATTTAAAACAAAAAACCACTAATTATTTTATTTAAAAACAAAACCTCATTTTTTTATTTTTGAAAAAAAAAAATTATTTAGAAAAAGTAACAAACTATTTAATAAAAAAAAATTGGGACGAAATTTAACAGAAACTACTAAATAAAAAACTATTATAGAAAAGGGGGGTGGGGCTGTTAGGAATCAAACCGTTGATGTAGGTAATGTGTAGAGAGTTGTGCTATATAAGGACCATTGGGACGGTGCCACGACCGTGATACAATGTCCTAAAAAAATTTAATTATAAGTTTATTTCTGACCCCACATTTTAGTCTCTTGTGTTTCAATTAATTTTATTTTTTTAGGGAAGTTTCAATTACATAATTTATTGTACAAATTCCCTCTTATATTTTCCTTGCCTTTCAAACATAACACCAACACTACTACCCTTAGAAACCCAAACCCTAACCCCTGTTTCTCTCACTTCTTCATCAAATATGTCTCTCTCAATTGTAAATTTGCCTTGTAATTTCAATTCACTTGGAGCTAGTATTAGTCCGATTTCTCAAGCCTATTTATTCTTGTTTTATTTTATTTACATGCATTAACTTGTTGAATTAAGCGAATGAAGTGCTCTTCTTTTGATATCTATTCAATTGTGAATTTGCGTTTCTTTTGGATTGATGTTATGAAGTTGATTTTGGATTGATTATTTGTTGTTTCGCGTTGATTTTGATAAACCCGAAATTCACATGAGCTAAATTCTAGTTTGGAATTTTCCATTGAATATTTATTTTTTTGGGTTAATTTTTTTGAGAATTTGTCTTGTTTGAAGTCGAATTTTGTGTTTTTCGTGTTTGTGATAGTTGAATTTATCTGTTTTAAGAGACACCTGTCCTGTCCTGAATGGGTAGTTTATTAGATCTATTTTTGGAAGTTGATGATGAATTGTCTGTCAGTTATTCTACTGTTTTTGGTAGTATAATTGTATTCTTGTGGTTCTTTTGGCCGGATTCGGCTATTTATCAAGCATGATTTGATTTATAATTTTTAATTTTAACAAAATGACATATAATTATGGTGTTCTTACTATCCATGCTTTAATCCCTTGTTTTTAATTATAATCCCTTATTTTTAATTTTAATCCCTTGTTCTTATGGAAGCAATTTGTTATAGGTGAAGGTATATTGTCCGTTAACCGTTTTGAATTCACAATCGGTACTCGTAGGCGGTTAAAAAATGTGGTGAGTTGATTGAGCTAGCTAGTTGCTTTGTACTTGATCAAAAAAATAAGTTGATTTGCTATAGAATGATATGTACTCTGATTATTTTATCAGCCTCTTCTGAAGTGTATGACTCGTGGGGTTAATGACTTATGGCCTGGACCACGTGGGATAAGAATCGTGGAGAGATTGTTCTGATCCCATGACAGGGAACTGATAAAAATAAACACATGGCCATTTAAAAAAATTGTTTGGGGTGATGGGAGTGTTGAGACGTTTTTAAGCAAGGGTTGGGGCGAATTTGTTAGATCAAACAACTTACAAGTTGGAGATCATATTCTGTTCACCTTAGACAACTTCGTGGACATGATTTATCGGGTTAGTATTTGGAGGGATGACATGGAAATAACCAGAACTGAAGTGGGATCAGATAGTGATGAAGAAGATCCATACTTCAAATTCTAGTTCCTGCACAACTATGTGTGGAAACCAACAATTTTAAGTAAAACTTGATTTCTTGTTACAATTGAAAATGTTTGATAATTTGTTGTTATACCATCCTATCTTATTTTATTGATTTAGAACGTCCCTCTACCCTTTTCCAAAGCATATTTCAACGGCCTTGGAAAAGAAACCAAAGTTGCATTATATAATAACACTAAGAAGTATGAAGCCACAATGCACATTAGGAGGGATCAAAATCAAAAGATTGTTTCTTGCAGCATCAAGAAAGGAATGCTAGAGTTCATTCGTGATGAGGAGGTTGAAGTCGATGAGAAAGTTTGCATTGAGTTGTATGGCATGAATCCAAACCCAACATTAATCATAATTTTTACTTGACAAGTTGTATAGCATCTAGGTTGTTTTCGTGTAGTTTAAGGTATTAAAATGCAATGCTTGTTTTGTTTAAAATACGGATGTAGCTAATATTTTGCCTATTTTGTTTTATTTAACAAGATGCATTTTCCTGTTGCTAAATGTGCTAGAGCTGTAGCTGAAGAGGACTCGGAATTTGAAGTATGAAAGGACGAGGAAAGAGGAATTTTTTTCCCGTGCTACTCGACAGCAGAGTATGTTTATATTAGACGTCTATCTATCCCCTTTTTGTTTAAAACTTTGGGATGTATATTTTGGTTCCACAATACCTCTAAACTCTGCTGGTTTGTGACTAATCTCGCTGTGTGGAGAGATCTAGTCTATGGCTCTATTTTTCTAACTTTGGCACTTATTGTGTTTAATTAAGAAAATATTTAAGTTATTTGGACTTAGATCATGTAACCTTGCTCTAACTTTGTATCCTAAGTTATTTGGAGCATCTGATTTAATAAGTTCTATTTTGAAATTATTGTTAAATTATTAATGTTACATGATTTATCATTTGTCA